GATGGCAGAGTGACTGGGACCAGGCGTCCTGGGGTCAGTCCTTGCTTGCTCCTTACAGCTGTCTGGGCTTCCAACAGCTGCTATGACAAATTTTCATAAATTGTGTTGCTTAAAGCCACAAAAAATTTGTTCTCATACAATTCTGGGGCCAGATGTCCAAAATCAAGGTGTCAGCAGGGCCACGTTGCTTCTGAGACTCTAGGGGAGGGTCTTTTCCTGGCCTCGCCCAGCTTCTGATGGTGTCCAGCAATCCTTGATGCGCCTTGGCATCCAGGCTCTGCCTCCATACATGGAGGTCTCTCTGGAGCGCGTGTGTGTGTGTGTTTGTGTGTGTCCACATGGCCTTTTTATAACGACGCCAGTCATTGGATTTAGGGCCAACTCTAATCCAGTGTGACCTCATCTTAACTTGATTATATCTGCGAAGACCCCATTTCCAAAGAAGGTCATAGTCACAGATACTGGGCTTAGGACTTGGGCCTATGTTTTGGGCAGACAGAGTCCAACCCACAACACCAGCTGTGTGACCTGGGCAAGGTGTGAGCCCCTCCTCTCCTCCGCAGCATGTCCACCGTGAAATGAGGCATGTAGGTGAGAACCTTGCTTCTTAGAGGGCTCAGAAACATCTGTCTCACCTGGAAGCTGCTTAAATGCAGATTCCCAGGCCTTGCCCAGCTCTGCTGAGCTGGAATCTGCATGGTAACCAGACCCCTAGGCAATTCCTGTCCACATGAATGTTTGAGAGTTGCAGGGTAGGTGAAAGGATTTGGTGCAAGGCCTGGCCTAAAGCAGCACCTGACGCATGTTAGCCATCAATGCCAATTTTCATTCTCCCCACTACCCGTTCTACCTGCAACAAACACCGAGAGCACCTTCCCTGGGTGGCTGCAGTCACCATCTAACATGTCGAAGGAACAGGTGACACGTCATCCCTGCCCCTAAGGAACTCCTAGCTCAGCGAGGAAAACAGCTACATACAATTTTTTTTTAATGTGCTCAAACACATCCACATGATGATTGGATTTTGCCCACGGCGCAGCTGGCCTGAAGAGCCAGGTAGGATGTGGTACTCAGCTGGGAGCCTGATACCAAGGCCAGCTCATCTCCTCAACAGCCAGGCACATGGTTACCTAGGCAACCAGCCGATGCCGCAGAGACGGTGGAGCAGGACGCCCGCCTGAGTTCCCACTGTTTGTTTCCTTGGAAGCAGCATTGACCACTGGAGGCCATTACCGGTGGGCACTTGGGGCTGAGTGCCCAGGCGTTTTCCCCTCTTGCAAACAAATTGCCCATCTCCCCAGGAGCCGGCTTTTCAGGCAGGTGTCCACTTGGCACCCAGCTGCACCAGCCTGCAGCTGCCGCTGGGAAGCTGAGGAGGTGAGGCTCAACTCTCTGGTTTAAAGGCAGCAGAAGCATTGATCAAGGCCTAGAAAGTGCTCAGATTTGCCTCTCAGAGTAGCATGATGGTCAGGTGCTCAGGATCCAGAGCTAGACCTGGATCCCAATTCTGCCTGGCTCTTAGTAAATGCATGACTTACCTCTCTCAGCCTCGATGTTCTCATCTGTAAAATGGGACTTACATTATACCACTCACCTCATTGAGTGGCTGGGATGATTTAAAAAGTATTTATACAAAGTGCTTAGCACAGGACCTGGCCTATGGAGTGCCCTCCAGAAGCGATGGCTTTTCCGCTGTCTTGTCACTTGTCCTTCATCACAACCCAGTATGTATGGTGGTTGTTCTTGGAAAATGTCAGCACTGGATACGTAGTAGCCATTATGACTGTAATGAGTAGTTTTGTTAGAATGTTCTGTGCCCTGCCTCACCCTTCAGCCAGACTGGGAGTGTGCAGGGGCTGGTTTGTCTTATCTCTGTATCATTTCCCCCACTCCCCGCCCCTCCTTAGAGACAGTGCCCCACTCAGAGTAGGCGTCCCTCCACCCACCTTGAAAACATGAGTCCTGAAAGGTAAGCATTGATTAATTCATCTGTAAATTAGTTGGACCAGCAGGTAACAGAGTTCAGTAATTGTGTGGGGTAAATCGGGGTCCCCTAAAAGACCCCTTACACGCTGTGCTGTCCTGTGGCAAAACTTAAACTGATTCAGTGCAGTTGAGGCACAGGGGCAGGGCAAAAAGCAACAATATATGTGCATAGCAGCACTCTTCGTGATAGCCTACGGTGGAGACAACCCAAGAGTTCATCAGCGGATTAACAGACAAAGAAATTGCAGTATATCCGCCGGGCACGGTGGCTCACCTGAGGTCAGGAGTTCGAGACCAGCCTGGCCAACGTGGCGAAACCCCGTCTTTACTAAAAATGTAAAAATTAGCCAGGAGTGGTGGCAGGTGCCTGTAGTCCCAGCTACTCGGGAGGCTGAGGCAGGAGAATTGCTTGAGCCTGGGAGGCACAGTTTGCAGTGAGTTGAGATTGCGCCACTGCACTCCAGCCTGGGTGACAGAGCGAGACTCCATCTCAAGAAACAAAGAAAGAAAGAGAGAGAGAGAGAGACAGAGAGACAGAGAGAGACAGAGAGAAGAAGGAAGAGAAATAAATTGTAGCATCTCCATGCAGCGGACCGTTAGTCATGGAAAGGGGTGAAGCCCTGACAGCTGCCACAGCCGGATGAACCTTGAGGATGTTATGCTAAGTGGACAAAAGGCCACATCGTGTATGATTTATATGCAGTGGAAGACACATTTTAACCCACAACAGTTTTGGCAGACATGGTTCCACCCACACCACCAGCTGTGTGACGTGCGCAAGCTGTGAACCCCTCCTCTCCTCTGTAACACGTCCACCTGGTAGAGGAGAGGAAGTGGGGCATATGGGTGAGAACCTTGCTGCTTAGAGGGCTCAGGGACATCTGTCTCACCTGGAAGCTGCTTAATGCAGATTCCCAGGCCTCATCGTGGTCACAAAAGGACACATAGTGTATGATTCCGTATATATGCAATGTTCGGAATAGGGGAATCCAGGGACAGAAAGCGGATTGGTGGTTGCCCAGGGGATGGGGGAGAGTATAATAGGAAGTAACAGCTTAAAAAGGTTTCCTTGGAAGTGATGGAAAAGGTTTGGAAATAGTGGTGGTGGTTACACAACACTGTGCTAAATGCCCCTGAACTGTTCACTGTAAAAGGGTTAATGGTGGCCGGGTGCCGTGGCTCATGCCTGTGATCCCAGCACTTTAGGAGGCCAAGGTGGCGGATCATCTGAGGTCAGGAGTTCAAGACCAGCCTGGCCAACATGGTGTGAAACCCCATCTCTACTAAAAATACAAAAATTAGCCGGGTGTGGTGGCAGGCGCCTGTAGTCCCAGCTACTCCGGAGGCTGAGGCAGGAGAATCACTTGAACCCAGGAGACAGAGGTGGCAGTGAGCCGAGATCATGCCACTGCCTGGGTGACAGAGCAAGATTCCATCTCAAAAAGTAAATAAATAAATGAATAAAGTAAATGGTTAATTTTATGGTGTGTGAATTTTTCCTCAATGAAGTAAATCTATATGTATGTGTGTATAGTGATGGCAGTCCCCTGGTCCCTCAAAGAGCCTGGTTTCTCAGGCCAGAGTGATGGGCTGTGACTGGTGAAGCCCCTGTGTGATTCCCAGAGGCACTGGGGTTGTCCCTACCAAGCCTGGGGCAAGAAAAGAATCCCAATCGGAGAGAAAAAAAATAGTATTCAATCTAATCCCAGAAGCACCGTTGACCCTAAAGCTCTGACCTATAACAAAAACAAACAAAACACGCATTTACAGTATTTCTTTAAGAATGAGATTTTGGGGGTGTCACTTTCTAGTGAAGTGGAATATCTTCTCGTCGTTTTATACTCCACAATTAGATCACAGATGCCCTCCAGTCATCATGGTCCTGGCGCCCATGTGTTTCACTGGAAATGTGCACAGATAATTGGGACAGTGCTGCCTCCTTCCCTGGGAAATTGTAGCCAAAGCGCCGAGGCTGATTTCGTGACATGGATTGTGTGGGCTAGCAGACATGGGGAGTAAGGCCAGGGCGCTGTGTTTGACCCAGGGTGTCTCTGTGGGGGGTGCACCAGCAGGGAGCTGAGAGGTTGTGAGCTGGTTTTAGGTGATGGTGAAGACTTGGCGGCCAGAAGGGCAGTTTGGGGGTAACACTTATGAGGCCTGCATTATATCTGAAGGTAACGTGACAGTCTCTGATGCTCACAGGATTGAAGGGAAGCTATTTTGGAGGACTCGAGAAGGCCAAAAATGCTACCTCGCAAGTGTCCAGTCCTCCCGGAAGCCATGGCTTGCTGGAGATAGCAAATTATTTCCTACACGCTTAGCATCTGCAGCCATAGCGAGTCTTGAATCAGGGAAGCCAGAGAAGATAACCAGCCAGTCATTCTCCCTGGGTGTGCAAGGCACAACTGGGGACATTGCACATTGGTAGACCTTTTGAGAAAATTCCAAGGTGGGGTCCCAGTGAGATGGGGGCTTGGAGAGGGGTGTCTCCCATGGGAGGAGGTAGGCAGGGGCCCTTTCCTCTGGCCGAACGCAGTGCCACACACATACTAGACCTCAGCAATGATGGGAAGAGGCAAACACGCATGCTCCTGGGCCCCCGGGGGGCGTGGTGACAGGGACACCAAGGCTTTAGGATAGCACTGCTCGACAGAGCATTCTGCAACAATGAAAACGTTCTCTATCTGCGCCATTACAGTCACCACTAGACACAGCTGGCTACCGAGTCCAGTTACGAGTATTATCGAGTAATGTTACGATGCTATTGAGGTGCTGGATTTGTGGTTGTATTTCATTTTAATGAAGTTCAGTGTGAGTAGCCACCTGGGGCTTGTAGCTTCTGAACTAGGCAGCTCAGCTCTAGGACCTGCACTGGAAAAAGTTTTCAAAACCGGGCTGGCTCCTCCCTGGCTCATGTTTCCCTGTGGGGTCCTCCTCCACTCTGCAGTTGCATGGGTGCGCCCATGCAGCGTCCTCCCTTCACGACAGGTGGTGGGGAGCATGCGTGCTTGTGTGTGTATGCGCGCGAGCCCCAGAGGCTGCGGCAAGCAGCAGAGCAGCAGAGCAGCAGCCCCTGGCTGGCGCGACGTGCTTCCAGTGCATTCTTAGTCACTCCTCTCCTGGCAAGGGGCACATTCCTGCTGACGACTTGTCTCCCGTGGAGGAGCAACAGGCTCTGCTTTCCCTGGCCTGAGAGCCCTGGCGTATGTGCTTGCCTCTGCCGGGAGAACAGTTGCCACAGTGATGGCAAGTGTTGCCCAGGTAACGTCCCTTCCTTGACAAGCAGAGAGGGTGAGGACAGCGCTGGAGTGGCTGACTCTGCCAGACGGGAAGCAGGAGGCTCTGCCTGCTGTCTCTGCTTGTTGCTGGCTGGTGGGGCTTGGGCTCGGATGTGGGGAGCCCTCCTGAGTTCTGCCTCCCCGGACTACTCCTTTACAGAACTTGGTAGGTGATAACAATCAGAGCTGCTGTTTAGCCAGGAACTGAGCTAAGTGTTGTATATATTATCTCATGGAATAGTCACAGCAAGCCTTTGACAGTAGTTATTCTTATGCTGATTTGCAGACAAGGAAACTGATGCAAGTAATAGACTCTAAGTTTCATGAGCACTGGGGCTTGTCTGCTTTCTTCACCACGGTTATCCTTAGTACTTAACATAGTTCTTGGCACATCATAGTAGATCTTCATGGATGATTGGATGGAATGGTGAATAGATGGATGAGTGAGTGATGGAAGTATGGATGGTAGATGGGTGATGAATGGATGTTGAGGTGGGTGATGAATGGATGGTGAGGTGGGTGAAGGATGGATGGGTGGGCGGGTGGATAGTTGGGTGGGTGGATCGTTGGGTGGGTAGGTGAATGGTTGCATGGATAAGTAGATGGATGAATGAATGAGTGGATGGATTAGTGGGTGGGTGCATGGGTGGGTGGGTGGTTGGATGGATGGATGGATGGATAGATGGATGGATGGATGAATGGTGAGTGGATGGATGGGTGGGTAGATAGATGGCTGAATGGATGGATGGGTGGTTGGGCAGATGGATGGATGTGTGGGTGAACGGTAGGTGGGTGGGTGGATGATGGATGGGTGGGTGGATGAAGTAGAGCTTAGATTTGATATGGAGACTGCTCATGAAGCTTATACTCTTTGCCACTGAGCCATACTACCATTGCTTTTATCTGATGACTGCCTCCCTAGGATAGCATTTTTTTAAAAAGGCTCTATTGAAATAGAATCTACGTACCATAAAATTCACCCACTGTGAGTATACAATTCAGTGATTTTAGTAAATTTATTAAAGTTGTACAACTGTCACCACAATTAAGTTTTAGAACATTTCCACCATCTTAAAAGATGCCCTCATGCTTGTTTGCAGTCTCATTCCCGTTCCGTGCCCCAGGCAATGAATGTTCCACTTTCTGTCTCTATAAAATTGCCTTTTCTAGACATTTCACATAAGAGAAATCATACAATATGTCTTTTGTGTCTGGTTTCTTTCCCTTAGCGTAGTGGTTATGAGGTGCATCCATCTTGTAGCATATGGGTAATTCAATTCTTTTTATTGCCAAATACTGTTTGGTTGAATGGCTAAACCACATTTTGTTTATCCATTCATCAGTTGATGAATTTAAGTTGTTTCTGTGAAGAATGCTGCTATGGACATTCTTGGGCGTGTCTTTGGAGTTTGTTTCTCTTTCTCTTGGGTAGGTTTCTAGGAACAAAAGTGCTGGGTCATATGATAAATTTATGTATAATGTTTTAAGACACTTTCAAATGATTTTCCACGGTGGCTGTACCAGTTTACCTTCCCACCAGCAACACACAAGATTCCCAGTTTCTCCACACCTTTGCCAACACTTGGCATTGTCTGTCTTTTTCTATTACAGCCATCCTCGTAAGGCGAAGTGGTATCTCTTCATGGTTTTAGCTTGCATTTTCCTGAGGGCTAATGACGTTGAGTCTTTTTTTGCATGCTTACTCCTAGGCTGGAGTTTGACTTTTAAAGCCAGAGCTTGGCAAACTTTTTTCTGTAAAGGGCCAGATAGCAAATATTTGGAGCTTTGTGGGCCACATTCGATTTCTGTTGCATATTCTGTGTTTATTTTCCGTCATAACTCCTACAGTTTATGAGAGCATTCTTGGTTTCATCGAACAAAAACAGGCAGGGGGCTGGGTTTCACCCACATACTATAGTTCACCAACCCTGCTCTAAAGTCAGCCCCTTTCAGTGAAAACACCAGGTCACGTGCCCAGCCACAGAGCAGTTCCAAGGCCCCTGTGTACTTCCCACTTCAGAGGAATCCGGTGGCCTGTGGGGTCCATGCTAGACAAACCACCAGGCCACCCACCCCACCTGGCAAAGTGTGCTCAGCAGGAAGACCATATTGCAAAGCCGAGGGCCAGCCTCCAGGGAGCCTGGAGCGGGGATTCCGGAGGCGTCCCTGTCCCAGCGCCACCATGATTCATCACCTGATGAGCTCATCAGAGTTCCTGGGATGAGGCATGCTAATTTGTCACCTAGGGAGCGGGGACAGGGCCCTGTTGATCCTGGACAAGTCTCCCTCATCCCTGTGACCACCCTGACCTGGGGCTCAGAGCCTCTTCTAGGAACAGGGGCCGGCCTGCAGCCCGCACCCACAACGCTGGAGCCCACCCTCTCCCTGCCACTTCCCCCACCTTCTGGTTACCTGGCCTCCACTCTCAGAGCCTCCTGGGCTTGTTTCTGGATCTTGTCCCTATGCCAGCAAGCATTCTTGACACCTCCTTCAGGATCTCTTGGCAAGTCTGATATCCTCTCCGCCCAACCCCGCTGGCCCTCACTGATGTGATGGGAAGAGCTTTGCAGTGGCCAGAGCCAGTTTTCACTCCTGGATTGTCCCTTTCTAGCTGCTTGACTCCGGGCAAGTTGCTTGACCTCTCGGGGCCATGATAGGCTTCTGTGCACAGAGAAACCAACAGTCCTCTGGTAAAAGCTGCAGCTGGCCACCCCCTCAGCATCACGTGAGGGCTGCAGGCTGCTCACCATGAACACCTGGGACCCTGCGCGAGCGCATGCTTTTTGCTGGCTCTGGGATCACTCTGGCCTGGGCACAGGGCAGTCAGAAGGCCTGAAGAGTTGGCCTGGTGTGGTGGCTCTCGCCTGTAATCCCACCACTTTGGGAGGCCGAGGTGGGCGGGTCACGAGATCAGGAGTTCAAGACCAGGCTGGCCAACATGGTGAACCCCATCTCTACTAAAAATACAAAAATTAGCTGGTCATGGTGGTGCACACCTGTAATCCCAGTTACTTGGGAGGCTGAGGCAGGAGAATCACTTGAACCAGGGAGGTGGAGATTTCAGTGAGCCGAGATCTCACCACTACACTCCAGCCTGAGTGACAGAGCAAGACTGTCTCAGAAAAAAAATATATATATATATCCCTGAAGAGTTTAGGGAACTGATGGACAAATGGCCGGCTCCCTCACTCTTTAGGACCGTCAGCTCTGAGTGTGATCTGCACTGTCCCCTAGAGCCCCTAGCAGGAGTGAGCCCTCATTGCCCATATCATGTGCTTGACAGTGCCCCGTTTATTGACCGTCTTCTCTTCCCCGTCTCACTTCCCCATTCTCCCCACCAGTATTTCCTGCCATTCCCTCTCAAATCAGTAAGCCATTTGCACTCAGTCCCTTGTCTCAGGGTCTTCCCTATGACAAGCCCCAACTCATGGGATACTGTGAGGATTGAGTGAGATAAAGCTCATAAGAGCTAGCACTGTGCCTGGCACATGGTATGTCCTCATGAAATGTTAGCCCTTGGTACAAGCCCTGGAACCTTCTGGCTCTGCATACAGCCTCTGCAGACTCTCCCATGGATGCCTGTGAAACAAGGGCTTGGGCCCTCCCGGGAAAGCTGTTGTCCTCCCCGCTCGAAGAAGGGGAGCTGTGGATGAGCTGAGGCTGGGTGCACCGACCCCGAGGGCTCGTCTCTGAAGCTGCGTTGGTGCCAGCATTGCCCACTGGGCCCTGCTATGCCTCAGACTGGTCGCCTCTGCATCTTGAGTGGCGTCTGTGTGTGGAGAACAGGAGGTTGTACTCACAGCCACCCACCTCAGGGCTGGTTGTATTTTGCAAAGTTTAAATGAGACTTCGCTGGAATGATGTTCACCAAATATTAATGGTGGCTATTTCTGGGTTGTGGGATTTTTGAGGCCTTTTAAGACTTATCCTCTTCTTTGTGCTTTTCAGTATGGTTTAGATTTTTTGCAATGAGCATGCATCTTTACCAAAAGAATGAAGTCATTAATCTTTCAAAAGTAAATAATGTGCAGCTGCTCAGAAGAGTCCACTTAGAGCCCAGACTCCATGCAAATCTGCCGTCTGCTGTGGGAAGACACGGGTGTGGATCACTGCGGTTTGCTTTGGGGCTTGATATATGGTGGATTTTGTGTGATCATTTCATGGTCTTTTAAAAATTAAACAATTCTCTGGGTACACACTGAAACCACAGACTCTAAGGCTCAAAGGAGCATTCATCCTCTGGAACGGGCAGGGTTCTTGCTTCAGACATGTTGTGTTTTGCACAGATTTCGTTGTGCTGCTCAGGCAGCACGTCCTGCTCACAGCACTAGGACAGGGCGGCTTCAGTTGACAGTAACTAGGAAGGAGGCTGGTTATGGTTCCAGAGACACCTCAGTGGACTGGGTACGTCTTGTCATTAATGAAGTTCAGCCATCATCAATATCAACAGCATGTTTCCTCTTCACTGTACGCTCACCCCCGATAGCTTGTCACATGTTTCTTCCCGTACTTTTAGGGTCTCCAGTGGCTGGCAAGGGAATGTTTCTGGTCTTTCCCCTCCTGCTGCCTGGGGAATGATGGGCTGCCTTGGCCTCCTTTGCCCTCCTGGGCCTATGAGAAGAGCTGATCTCTTTCTGATTCTTGATGTGGAATGGGTGAATGGGCAAAGAACAGTAAGACCGGGGTGCTGGAAGGAGGAGAGAAAAAGGTAGGCAGGTGGGTAGATGAAAGAACTAGAGAGAAGGAGAAAGGAGCAGGGAGAGGAGAAGGGAGAGATGACGGGAAAGACTTGGAGTAATGGGAGGTACTGAAAACCGTCTTTGGTGTGAGTTCATGGGGGCAACACCAGTGGCAATGAGTGTATCAGAGGCCCCAGAAAATCATGGGGTGTGGGAAAATAATGGAGAGGAGGAAGATGGGATGCCGTATTGGCCTAGGTTTTACACTTCATCTCCTTCAGTTTTTCAAGAGACAGATGCAATCTCAGCGTTCCTTTTTGTTACTCTTGGCTGTTTTGGCTGGACTTTACTTTTGAATGCGACTCCATAGAGTGGACCACATGGGTCTAGGATGGGTAAGGGTTACAGATTGAAAGAGATACAGGTATTTTCGAGCCTGACTTACAGAACAGGACCCTGACACTCAGAAGGTGAAAGTTTTCTAGAAAGAACCAGATCTTTCCAACTCAGGTCCACCTCCCGTCCCACCACTGTGCCTCACCGACAGAAGTAACTGTTCAACTTGGCATGGAATGTGTCCCCCAAATATTTCCTCGATAGCAGTGCGTCCCAAGACCACTTGATAATTCCTAGCTCAGAAACTAAGCGGTCAGGGAGGCTCTGGCAGCTTGTAGGTTTCTGTTTGAGCCTTAGCGGTCAGCAGGGGACCCTCCTCTCCCCCCTCCTCTTTCTGACTTTGGCTCAGAGATTGTGACATGTCACCCCAGCTGGCTGCTGGCACGGTGATACTAAAATTAGGCTCTCCCTAAGGAGCAGAGCACTTAACGAAGGAGTTCATCCAGTTAGAAAGTCTCTCAGGCAGGCCGGGTGCAGTGGGGCAGGCAGCTGCAAAGGCAGGAGCCAGGGCGGGGGTGGAGGGAGCGCTTGGCCCAGACCTCCGCCTTCCGAGGGCCTCCGTTTCCATGATGTCAGAGAGGCGGAACTAACCCTGCCTCAAATCCAGGGAGGCGGCAGCCCCTGCCCCAACCACTCTCTGGCTTCGACACAGCGCCCAAGCGAAGGTGAGAGCACTCTTCTCTTCCTCGCCAGGTGGATGCGGAGGGCAGCGCCGGGTTTCCGGGGGAGCATTCTGGGTTTAGTCCCTACCTGGCTGGAGTTTAATTCCCAGCCTTAATCCTGTCTGTCATGTTTCCTAGCTGACTACCTGTCTTCAGGCGACCTCTTGGGAATGGCGTAGGCGGAAACAGTGCCTTCAACTCAGAGAAAGCCCCTTTGTGGACTGACCATTCCCACTGTTACTGCACTTGAATCCTTGGGGAATGAGTTTGGCAAAAGATATGATCTAAAAGAGAAATCTCCCCATTTTGTTTTTGAAGTCACTGGGAACTGTGTGGAGACAGTATAGTATGGTGGTGAGGGTACTGGCTTGAGAGTCAGGACACATGTTTCTGTCTCAGCTCTGCCAACTCTAGAGTCTTGGGTAAATTTTCTAACCTCTTGTGTACCTCGGTTTCCTCATCCTTTTAGCAAAAACAAAAACAAAAAACAGGAAAAAAGAAAAAGGTCATCTATCAGGGATTATCGTCGGGCTGAAGTGAGCCTGTGTGGGAAATGGGTCTCTGGTGTCAGGAGGCCTGGCTGCAAACGCACCCTGTGGCTTTGAACGAGACCCTTCCTCTCTTGGGGTGTCAGTTTCCTTATCAACGGGGACCGGGCCAAGTTGGGAGTTTCTCAGGGCCTTTTCACCCTAACCCATCTGATTCTTTGATTGTCTTCCATCTTCTGCCCTCCTTACATGAGTAACATGTTGCTGTCTCTTTATCTCTTTCAACCAGAAAAAGATTTACAAATATAAGAAAGTGCTGAGTAACCCAAGCCGCTGGGAAGTCGTCTTGAAAGAGATCCGGACCCTGGTGGACATGGCCCTGACATCCCCCCTGCAGGACGACTCCATCAACCAGGCCCCACTGGAAATCGTCTCGAAACTGCTCTCAGAGGTAAAACCTCCCCCCGGGCCCCTTTACGTTGTTTGCCTTTCCCTCCGCCGATCACCGCCGATCACCGGCTCCCCGCCAAGCAGCACGCGCAGGCAGAGCTCCATGTGGGCTGTGTTGTCACCCTGCTGCCGAGGGAGGTGAGCAGTTGCCCACCCAGCCATGTGTGGGAGTTGGTGAGGGAGGCTTGCCCCAGCTGCTTCCAGCTGTGCTGTCTGGGGATTGTAGCACGGAGGAGGAGGTGTTGCCCCGTACAGTGGGGGCCGGTAGTCCCAGCCCCATCTCTGTTTTCCCCCAGCAGTGGCCCACATGAGCTTCACGGGTCCAGGGGGACTTAGCTTTCTGCCCTCGTCACCCCACAAAGCCTGTAGATGTGCTTTGTTTAATTTAAACACCATTTTAAAAATTAGGATATTTCACAATACACTGGGAATTTCCAGGTTCTCTTTAAAAACAATCAGAAAATCCAGCCGCGGTTTACAGCTGGCGCTACCTGGTGCTACCTGTCGGCTGGGCTTCCTGTGCCATCTGCTTTGCTGGCCTCCCCGCATGTTGAATGTGTACTTTGTGCCAGGCACCATCTGGGAATTCAAGCAAAGACAAGCCCCTACCCCGCTGGAGCTTGTGTCCCGGCAGGGGAGACAGGCAGTGAACAATGAAACTCATCAGCGAGTCTGTCCCGCTGCTGGTGAGGCAGAAGGCGCTTCGGAAATGTGCTTCTTTCTGTTGTCTCTGTTTCAGATGCTATTCTAGGTGCTTTACAAATATTAATACTGCTCTCGTTTATTTGCTCACCTGGCCCTCTGGGAACACTGGAGTTGATGACTCCTGATTTAAACTGTGCACGGCCACCAGAGTGATGCTTCTGTCCCACTCCCCTGACAGTGGCACCCCCGGTTCCTGAGTCACTCCCATCAAGCTCCCATGCAAGTGCCCGGCTTCCTGGAGCCCTCCCCTCTCTGGCCACTGCCCTGGGACAGGAGCCTGTCACCAGCCCTCTGTGTCTGCGGAGTAGAGAAGGCCCCTGATTCTGGGAGGAGGTGGGGTGGGAGGTAGAAAGTAGGTGGCAGTGACAGTCTCAGGCAGAGGGACAGAGGTCAGAGGTGGTGTCCTCACTTGGGAGACCAGCATCGTTCCAAGAGGAGTGAAAACCCAGGCTGGGAAATGAATCACAGAGTGGCTGGAATTCTGAGGCCGGGTGCCAGATGTCCAGCCCCAGCTGCAGACTTCTCATCTGGAGAAGGGGTCCCTGCTCACCTGTAGTAAGCCGGGCAGGTGTCGGGTGCCACCCAAGCTGGAGTGCAGTGGTGTGACAGCTCACTGCACCCTCCGTCTCCTGGGTTTAAGCAGTTCTTCTGCCGCAACCTCCCAAGTAGCTGAGATTACAGGCGTGTGCCACCATACCCAGCTAATTTTTTGTATTTTTAGTAGCGACAAGGTTTCACCATGTTGACCAGGCTGGTCTTGAACTCCTGACCTCAAATGATCCATCTGCCTTGGCCTCCCAAAGTGAGACAGCTTCTCTTTTAAAACTCATTCTCTCTGAAAGGTGGTCCTTTCTGTCTTCGCTTTGCAGATGAGGAAACTGAGGCCCAGTGATACTGAGTGACCTACTCAACTCACATGGCAAGTTCGTAATGGAGCTAGAAGCTCCACCTTAGAGTTGCCAAGTGCTTTTGAGACCAACTTGGCCACCACTTCAGCACCACCAGGCTCGACCACCACCACACCCTTTTTAAATCAGGGCAGTGATGAGGGCAGCAGACGTGCCATGTTGCCTGCCTTGGGCAAGATTTTTTTCCCCTCTCAGATGTGCTTCAGGTGACCGCATGCCTGTTGGCCTGCACATCCCTCCTTGGGCTTTTTTTTTTTTTTTTTTTTTAATTACCAATGGGGTCTCACTGTGTTGCCTAGGTTGGTCTCATACTCCTGGGCTCAAGCGATCCTCTCACCTTGGCCTCCCAAAGTGCTGGGATTATAGGCTTGAGCCACCACACCTAGCTCCAGACACCTGGCTGAGGGTGCTTCTTGGGCTTTAAAGTAAAAATCTCAAAGGCAGCTGACCCCTAAGTGCTAAGATGGAGGAATAAAGATATTTAAAGTAGGAAAACGGAAGAAGTTTCCATGTGCTTTGAAGCTACTGTGTCAGGCAAGGAGTCAGCATTACTCACCCTACGTTACTGAAGAGAGCTGACATTTCGTGAGGGACAGAGCTGGGACTCCAGCCCAGGCTGCCTGACCCAGCATCCACTCATGCATACTCTGCAGTGGTCAGTTTGATGGCCCTTAGACCTCCCCAGTTTCTCGCAAGGACCCTGCAAGTTAAATATTTAAATACTATAGAGGAGTAACCAGGGGTGCCGAGAGGTTAAGTAGCTTACACGGGGCCATTCAGATAAGTGTTAGGCCAGGACCCTCACGCGGGTCTGCCCAATGGTGAAGCTTATGCCCCTGCACATAGATGTGTCCTAAACCTGGGTTGGTAGAGACTTTTTGGCAAGTATGTGACTGTGTAGATTAAGAGTGCGTGTTGTGGGGTCGGAAGGACCTTGTCCTGCGCTCAGTAGCTGAGTGACCTTGGACAAGTTGCTAGGCCTCTCTGTGCCCAGTTGTTTTCTGTAAATTGGGTCTGAGACGAGTACCCATTTCATAGGACGGAGGATGAGATGCTCTCATCCACATGAAGGGCTTGGCACTGTGCCTAATGTGCAAGGGCCTTTGATACAGGGCCACCTTTTCACTGTCATAAAGGATGGCTGTGGTCTGAACCCCGTAAGCGCCCTCAGCCAGGTGTCTGGAGCTAGTAGCTGGAAAAACAAACACCTGCCTTCGACCTCCGTGCCCTGTTTTGGGGCTGGGTTCTTTCTCTGTTCTGTTTACTCAAGTTGTTTGCAAGGCCTCCTCTGGAGAGGTTCCAGGCATCACCAGACCGACTAGAAAGTGGAAGGATCAGGAGGGAGCAGGCGGAGGGGCATGGTGGAGGGAACTGTTAAGGATGCAAAACAGTTCTGAGAAAGAACTGTCTGTCCACCAACAAAGCAAAGCTGGCTGTCCCCACCCTCCCAGGCCTCTGTTGACTTATATGTAGAGTGGCCACTTAGCTTGAGAGTCAGGTGTTCCCTCTAATGCAGCGGCTATTAGTGGACATGCTCTACCGGGGGTGGAAAATGGCCCTGGTGGAGAGAAGGCTCCCTGTAGAATGCATGGGCTGCCCTGTGACTGGGACAAAGGAAGTAGTGTCCATGGTCACCAAAGCCTTCCTGAAAAGGTGTGTGGGTGGGGGCGAGGGATGGATGTGTCGAGCTGCCCTTGGCAGCCCAAAATAAGGAACTGCCTCTTGAATGGGTGGTGGAGCACTATAGCTCAGTGGCAGGAAATACAGACTTTGGAGTCAGGACAGACGGGTTCATATCCTCACTCCACCCCGTATTACCCTGCACCTGCTAGTCACTGCATCCCGTCAGTCTCAGGCAGCTGATCAGTCAATGGGATAGTAGAGAACCTGTCATAACCAAAAGAAATTGGTGGCATGAGCAAAACAAAGGTCTTACACAGTGCCTGAGGCATAGAGAGCTCATCAGCAGTCATAACGAGAGACCAAGGCCAGGCTTCTCCCCCAGGCTGAAAAATGACTGATAGTTAATAATCTACCATAAACAGGCTGCTCAAACTCCACTCATACCCACTAGAGAAAAAAGGGTGTTCAAATCCGAAAAACATCCTTTCACATGCCTGGAGTCTAGGTGTCTTGGGTCTGGCCTCACCTAGGTCAGGACGTCTCATGGGGACCTGTAGAGACTCGTGTTGTTCAGACGCTGACCCGGCTTCACGGTCTCCCGCAGCCCTCGGGAAGCCAGTTTATTGGGCAAAAGCCAATTCATAGCTCGCGAGCTTTTCTTTTGCCTTGGCTGCTGTCAACACATTAGACACCCCCATATGCCTTAAACCTGTCTAGGTGGTGGGAGCCATGGGACTCTGTCTAGAACCAGAACAATCGATCTTGCCGACACTGTTCAAATGAGGGGTCTCTTTACAAGCAGCCAATGTGGCTCTGTTAGGAAATACGAATCGGCACCACTGTGTGTCCACCAAAACAGACAAGCAAAGCGGAACACACCGTGAAACTAGCAAGAAAGAAGGGCGAGCACTGGGGGTTTTCCCGTGATTCCTTGTTTATGGCACATCCGTCTCTTTCCTTGTTCACGTACTCACGGATGGCGGCACAGGTCGAGCATCTCTAGTCCCGAAACCTGAAAAGCTCCAAAGTCCAAAACTTTCTTTTTTAGAGACAGTCTCGCTCTGTCGCCCAGGCTGGAGTGTGGTGGCACAATCTCGGCTCACTGCAGCCTCCGCCTTCTGGGTTCAAATGTTTCTTCTGCCTCGGCCTCCCGAGTAGCGGGGATTACAAGTGCCCACCACCATGCCCAGATAATTTTTGTATTTTTTGTAGAGACGGGGTTTTGCCTTGTTGGCCAGGCTGATCTTGAACCCCTGGCTGGCCTCGAGCAATCCACCCTCCTTGGCCTCCCAAAGTGCTGGGATTACAGTCATGCACCACCGTTCCTGGCCCAAAGTCCAAAACTTTCTGAGCCCCAACATGACACTCAAAGGAAACGCTCATTGGAGAGTTTCAGGTTTTGGATTCTCAGACTAGGATGCTCAACTGGTTAAGTATAATGCAGATATTCCAAAATTAAAAAAAAAAATGGAAATCCAAAACACATGTTCCCAAGCATTTCAGTAAGGGATGTTCAACCTGTAACGGTTACCAATTATTTAAGAAAAGTCCAGATTGGGAAGGAAACAGGACCCCTAAAATTTCAGCAGATGTAATCCATTCAACCTAATTACGTTTTTGCAAGTCAGTTGCTAGAATTTGAATTCAGCTAAAACATCTCAGGCCCACTCACAGAACTTTGTGTTCCTTGGGAACTTAGTTTGAGAAACACTGAAATCATATACGTGTTACTCCTAAAAGGCTGCCTGCTACAGCATTAGGACTCTTAAAAGGTCTGTTTCTTTACATACTTCTTATGAACCTGCCCTCTGGCTTCTAAGCAGTTTCACTTTGACAAGGACCAGATCCTCTCCCAACAGCCTAATGAGGTTACTGGAAACCCCGTTTACCAAAGCAGAAACTGAGTCTCCCCCAGACTCGACTCACTCAAGGTCACATAACTCAAGCCCTGAAACAGGGACAAGAACTCAGTTCTCCCTGCCCCGAAACCATGCTTTTTCCCCTTTCCTGACCTTGTCTCTGAGGGTGTTCAGATCTGTTTAATTAAGAAAAAATGATGGTGACAGTTGGTCTGTGACGCTGAAGATGTTTTAAAACTGTGGATCTTGAAATCCAAATGCTCGTTTTCTTAATTTTCTTTTGTTTTCTTTTCCTCCTGCTGTCTGCCTTCAATCCTTTAGAACACAAACTTGACCACCCAGGAGCATGAAAACATCATTGTGGTAAGTTCCTCTCGAACACGCACCCTCCGCCCACCTCCGCCTCCTGGAGCCTACAACCCTTTTCCTGGTTTGGGGTAATTCTGGCGCCTGCGTAATCCACCAGCATCTGGCCTTGCTCCGTTTTGTCTTTTCTAGCAAGCTGGTCGCATCTCCCTCTGCCTTTGCACATTTCAGAGCCCCAGTTGATGGGAGAGGGAGTGTAATTATCTGTCTTTGAGGTTTGTAGCAAATGTATCATAATCGCCTCCTCCTTCCTGAGTCTGCCTAGGGAGTTGAAGGCAGGAGATGGCAGAGACTGTATAATTTATTCAGAGGCGTCACCCCATTAGCTGAAAGGTAAACGTCCTTTTTCTTGCCCCAGGACATGTCTGCCAATTAATCCACAAATAGAACTTGGATTTAATTCCCTGTGATACATAAAGTGAGATGCTATTTTCTGGGACTCTACCATGACGTAAGCATTTTTGAGGTAAAATATCTTCCTAGATGACTTTTAGCTACGAAACCTAACTCTCACTTGAGAGAAGAAAGCAATGAAATCGCACCTGCTAGATGGTCAGCACCGTGCTGTGTATTTGAATTCAGATAACCTAGTCCCCAAGGAGTTCGTCATCTATTGTAAGAAGACAAAAGTGATCACCACAAAACATAGAGACATTGAGTGCAGAGAGTAAGTGGAGTGATAAACTCCCCTGGGAAAGGAGCCAGAGAGCTTCCTGGAGGTAGTGATATCTGAGCTGGGTTTTGAAGGATCAATAGGAGTTTTCCAGGTGGCAAAACAGGATAAAAACATCCCAGAGAGAAGAAACAATGTGCAAGGGCACAAAGATTTAAAGCAACGTGGTGCGTTCTGGAAGCTTCAGCATTTCTGGAGCATAAAGCATAAGGAAATGAGAAGCAGGCGGATGGGAGATGAAATAGAAGCAAGAGGCAGAGCCTTTTGTGCCCAGGAGGGGACCTTGGAACTAAGCGGCCTGGGATGTCTCCTGGCTGCAAGGTACAGAACAAGAGCAGCATCAGTCACTAGGCCCCTCAGACTCCTTTAGCCGAATCGAGGCCTTGAGGGACCCACTCAGTCGGCCCTGGCAAGCCAAACTGGTTATGGTATGCACAAAATGAGGTGGACCTCAGGCCTTTGATTGTAGAGAGTCAAGGCAGCAGCTTCTGCCTTTGCTGTCACCTCCAGTGTCTGGCACATAGTCGACCCCCAGTGGGTGTTTGCTAACAGTATAGAGGTTTTCTCCATGCTCTCACCCTGACTATCCCTTGCCTTCTCCTGCCAGAACAGGAGAACACATCAACCTGGGCACCCCCAGTCACTCACCACCACCTTTTTCCGGCATAGTATTAATTCATCCATTCATTTAATGTACTTTGCTGAGCATGTGAGTTTAACTATGTGCCAGACACTAACTCTGTCCCACAGATAGAGAGCTGGACGAGACATGAGGCCGGCATTGAGGATTGAATGTATGCTGAGAGAACCTGGCGGGTCAACAGATAATACAAAAATAACATAGCCAAGGGCTGAGGTTTGTTCTGGGTGTTAGTGGGGGTGCAGAGGATAGGTACTTAACCTGTGTCAGGGAGGGTACTGGGAGGATGATGATGGAGGACTTCCAGGACGAGGTGACCAAGCTGAATCTTAAAGGAGAGATAGGAAAATGTCAGGTAAACGGAGCAAGCTGGGGAAGGCGTTCCAGGCAGGGGGACTTCCATGTGCAAAGGCAAAGTGGTAAGATGGGCTGCTGCAGAACCGGAAGGAGGTACTGCTTCCTCTCCCTGCCAGCAACACCTGTGGGTTCCACTGGGTGCCTGGAAGTCCTGGATGGAGGACAAGGGCTTGCATTCAGGACAAGCCTGGGAAAGAAATTTTGATCCGAGAAATCCAGGCTGCATTTATCCAGCTAATATGGCTGAACTGAACCCTTATTTGGGTCGGGTTGAGCTTCCCGGCTCAGCAGGAATGCCTGAGAACAGGAAAGAATTTGATCTGAGGGTCTGACCCTCACCCCTGCGTTTTACAGCCTCCCCGTCCAGCATTCTTTTATTACTATTGCTGTTGTCATTATTGTGACGACTTCTGGAGCCTCCTTTCATTCCAACAGTTACATCCTCTTATTTGCCCTATTGGCAATTAGTCTTCTCCCATGTGCTTGGTAGTTTTTGTATGCACTAATTTTTCTACCATAGCTTGAGTTGGTTTTATTCATTCCATTGGCCAGGCAATAGTACCTGTTGTTGGTCTTGGACCAGGAGTCCAAACCCCAGCTGTGATCCGGCTCACTATGGAAGGCTGTCACCATGGTGGTGAAGAACGTGGGCTTAAAGCTGGATCTAGGTTCAAGTTTAGAATCAAGTTCAGACCCCGACCCCAGCCATACTAGCTGTGATAGAACTTTTAATTTTCTTTAAAATATCATCTTGCAAGTATTTCTTTTTTTCTTTTCTTTCTTTCTTTTTTTTTTTTGAGACAGAGTCTCTCTGTTGCCCAGGCTAGAGTGCAGTGATGCGATCTCGGCTCACTGCAATGCCACCTCCTGAGTTCAAGTGATTCTCCTGCCTCAACCTCCTGAGTAGCTGGGATTACAGGGGCGTGCCACCATGCCCAGCTAATTTTTGTGTTTTTGGTAGAGACGGAGTTTCACCATGTTGGTCAGGGTGGTCTTGAATTCCTGACCTCAAGTGATCTACTGCCTTGGCCTCCCAAAGTGCTGGGATTACAGGCGTGGGCCACTGTGCCTGGCCAATTTTGCAAGTATTTCATGAGTATGAGTATGTTTTCATCAGGAAAAGAGGATATCATCCCATCCCAGTGCCCTCTTCAGAAACATCTTGTTTTCAGGTGGTGACAAACCCACACAGACAGATATGGTTGTGGATTTTTTGGGTTTTGGGTTTTTTATTTTTATTGTTTTTGCTTTTAGTATGAATGATGCAATGCACGGTGTGTCGCCCTGGATTTATTTTTCTCTCTTCACAATATGGCCTGGAGATTGTTCGAAGTCTTTTCGTGGCTGTCTACCCCACAGTTCCTGATCCTTGTTTGTTGTGTTTCAGGCAATCGCTCCTTTGCTGGAAAACAACCACCCACCACCAGATCTCTGTGAATTCTTTTGCAAGGTACGGGATTGCTGAGCTGGGGCTCTGGCTGCAGGGGGCTACCTCCCTCGGTGTGTGCACACTGGGGATCGGGTTTGCACAGAAAGGCCGAAAACCTGGGCCCCACAGTCCTGGGCCATGGTCCCAGACACAGGCGGAGGGCATGCCAGGCACCCATCCTTAGGGTTACACCCACCTCTCTGCGCCAGGTACCCATCCTTAGGGTTACACCCACCTCTCTGCCAGACAGGTGACAAACAGTGAGAGGAGGAACATCTTGCTTTTTCTTGGAATCACTTCCCGGCTGTCCTGGGAGACAGGTTGCTGCAGATTTCCTGGGCTCCTGACGTCAGAGCTGGGTTATTATTAGCCAAGGTTCCTCTGCGCAGTGGCTGGCCCACGGTGGGGTGTGGCTGTGGGGCTTTCCCTGAACACGGGAGGCAGCATGGTGCTCCAGGTTAGCTTAGAGGAGCCGTGGAGCAGGGCATCCGCTGTCAGGCACCCGGCACCAGCCTTGCAGTGAGCTTCACATAGGACATGCCCAGGGCACATCGGGGAGCAGGCATTTCTCATTCCCAGAGCACATCTTCTCGGCTCAGGCCGAACCAGCACACAAACCTGTTTTGTTCTTTGCTGTGTGTGGTTTTTTTTTAGTGTAATAATTGTATGTCGTTGGAAAGACATGTTCTCAGCGCTCCCCTGTCATACCCCTGCTGCCCTGCTCAGCTGGTCCTCATCCCTCCACGCTCCCATTACCTGCCTCCTGCCAAGGTCACCCACTGTCCTTTGGAGAGGTGTGGGCTGTGTACAGCAGTGGGACCCGCCTGTGGGGTGGAACAGCAGGCCCCGGGAGGAAACGGGACTGTGGTGCACTTGATTTCCCTTGCCCTCCCCCGGCCCCCCACCCCCGGGTGTGTGTGTCAGGGGATAGGAGCTTTGAAAGGGAGACAAGATTCTGTTATCCTCCTGGAGTCTGCCTCCCTATCAGGATTCCTTTTCTAGCGACCCACACACCTGCTGGTCTGAGTGCCCAGGGTACTTGTCAGGGCCTGGAACGACCTCTACCCCCATCCTTAATGTGGGCATGTGCAATGTGTGCCCCCGGGCCCAGGGAGTGAACGCCTACGAGCGTGTGTGTGTGTGTGTGTGTGTGTACAGGTGTGGATACACACAGGCCCTGGGCTCCTCGGGGCACACGAGGGCCTTCTCTGCCCCTGGGCCTCATGGGTATCATGCCCCCAGCAGAGTGGAGTTAAATAACCTGGTATCCTGAGAGAACGGCTAGCTGCTCCTCTGCCTGTCACCGAAGGTCACCTCCTCCATCTCCTGTCCAGTTTAACCCAAACCTGCCCCATGCTTGCCTCTCAAGCTTAGGATTTCTCCCAGATCTCAAGATTCTCAAACTCTGGTTCTAGAACACTGGATATTTGTTGTAGAACAAGATACACTTGCCTCACCGTGTTTCCTGCCTGAGGCTTCACTTGTCTCACTGTGTTTCTTACCTCAGCGTTCCTGGTAGCACAGTTTGGAAAAGGGTGAGGTAGAAAAAGTTATCCTTTTTGGCATTCTTTGCTATAATCCCGTGTGGGTGTTTCAAAGAGGGCCGTCTGCCTTTTGGAGGGAGGGGTCCCAGCCACGCGGGATGCTTCTTTGGCTGTTTTCCCTCTGGGAGTTGGAGCCCAGAGAGGAGAGCTTGAGGGGACCAAAGCCTCCCGCGCTGCGTCTGCTCTGCCAACCTCCTGCCAAATTCCGAGATCTGAGGAAAGTTTATTCGTCTTGCTTTCTCAGGGGAGCCCTGATTTCTCTTACCCCAGGTCCAGCATCCTCATCCAGGGGCCGGGTGGGTGATAAATGTGTGCAGGACACGAGGGAGGGGCTGCGCCTTGTCTGCACAGCCTGTGAAGGGCTTCCTTTCCAATCTGAAAAACAAAACGCCACACTGGTGATGAATCGGGCCTGCAGACTGCCACCCGAGTGCTAAAGCCACCAACTGAAGAGTCACAGAATTTTCAACACCCTGGTGTTCAAATGCCAAAGCCCTGGTATTATCATACCCAATTTCCAAGGTCTTTCAGACCACACATGCAGAATCTTAGCTTTACAAAAGTCTCATTATATGTTAAATAAGGACCATGTCAGGACGCCTATGTGTACCATCTGAAACAGTCTCAAGCTTTAAGGTCAAAATCAAACAAAAAGCAAACAAAAGCTCTCATCTCATCTACTTTTTTAACTCCAAAAAAAAAGAAAAACCTTTTTTTTTGTTGTTGAGACAGAGTCTCGCTTTGTCACCCAGACTGGAGTGCAGTGGCCGGATCTCAGCTCACTGCAAGCTCCGCCTGCCGGGTTCACTCCGTTCTCCTGCCTCAGCCTCCCGAGTAGCTGGGACTACAGACGCCCGCCACCTCGTCCAGCTAGGTTTTTGTATTTTTTAGTAGAGACGGGGTTTCACCGTGTTAGCCAGGATGGTCTCGATCTCCTGACCTTGTGATCCGCCCGTCTCGGCCTCCCAAAGTGCTGGGATTACAGGCTTGAGCCACCGCGCCCGGCCAAAAGAAAAAACTTTTAAGGCTATGGCACTCCTAGGTATTTCCTCAAATGAGTTCAACACACTTGTCCACACAAACATCTACATGTAGATGTTACAGCAGCTGTATTCATGACTGCGAGAACCTGGAAGCACCCAAAATGCTTTCCAGTGGGTGAATGGATAAATAAACTGTGGAATGCCCAGACAATGGAGAGTTATTCAGCACTAAAAAGAAACGAGCTAGTAGACCACGAAGAGAAAGGGGGAATTTTAAATGCATGTGAGTAAGTGAGAGGAGCCCATCTGAAGAGGCTGCACACTGCATGATTCCAACTGCAGGACATTCTGGGAAAAGCAAAATTATACAGACAGTAAAAAGATCGGTGGTTGCCAGGGGTTGGGGAGAGGGAAGGATGAATTGGCTGAGCACAGAGGATTTTTAGGGAGTGAAATGACTTCGAGGCTATGATATTACAGTGGTGGCTCCAGGACATCAGACATTTGTCTAAACACCCAGAACGCACAGCACCAAGAGTGAACCCTAAAGTCACCTGTGGACTCTGGGTAGCAGTGATGTGTCAGTGTGGGGTTATCCATTGTAACAAATACCCCACAGGGTGTACGTGCTACATTTGTTACACTGCACGGTCCTTTGGGGAGGCGTGGGCTGTGTCCACCAATGAGACCAGCTTGTGAGGTGGAAACACAGGCACCTGGGAGGAAAGGGGACCGTGGTGCACTTTACCCCCTGCCCAGGGAGTCCTCTGTGTGTGCATCAGGGGACAGGAAAGGGAAACAGGATTGTGTTGTCTTCTTGGGCCCTGTCTCTCCACCAGGATTCTTTTTCCAGTGCCCCACATGCTCGCTGGCCTGAGTGCCCAGGGTACGTTTCTGGGCCTGGAACGCCCCCACCCCATCCTTAATAGGAACATGTGCAGTGATAGTTGGGGAGGCCATGCGTGCCGGAGGAGGGGGTATCTGGGAAAGCTCTCTGCCTTCCTCTCCATTCCACTCTGAACCTAGAACTGGCCCCCCCTCCAAAATAAACTCATTTTTAGAAAACGGTGCAACAGTGCTCATCAAGGGAACCCAGGCACCCACAGCTGGGCTCACTGTCTCTAGCCCCGCTAGCAGCCCCGGGCTGTGGTCGGAACATTCTTAGGCCCACGGTCACTGTACCCTACTCTCTCCCCAGCACTGCAGAGAGCGGCCCCGGTCCATGGTAGTCATCGAGGTGTTCACCCCTGTGGTGCAGCGAATCCTCAAGCATAACATGGTGAGTTCCCCCTGCCCCAACACCCAGACCCCAGCGCCCAGTGCATGAGGCCCCGTGCACCTACCTGGCCTTTTGTGTTGGCACAGATTTGGGGGATAGGATTGGCCCAGCCTGACAGCCGTGAACTGGGGTTGAGATTCTGGTTAAGGAGTTTTGGGGGTTTTGTACAGCTTGTCCTCCATTATGGCAACAGGAAGAATCTTTTTGCAGTACATAAGAATTACAAAAAGACCGTGGCTGGAGGAGAAGAGGAAAGCCTCCCAGGGAGAATAGGCCCAAATAATGTCTGTAGATGCCTCGCCCTGAAGGACCCAGAGCATAACTTCTCACTCCTTTAGTGTGGGCTGTGCACAGCGAGGTCCTTCCAGAGAGCACTATATGGAAGGGGGCAAGAGTCGCCTTGCAGTGGAGAAAACAGACACACCCAGACTCAGTCAGATGATCAAGGTCAACATCAACAACAATAAGCCGATTTGACAGAATTTCTCCTTGATATGATGTATAAAAACTACATTTGACCTCTATGGTCTTCCTCCCAGTAACCCATCACCCCATTGCAATCATGACAAAAACATCAGACAAATCCCAAGAACGGGACAGTCTACAAAGTACCTGGCCAATCCTCCCCACGGTCAAGGTCATCAAAAACAAGGAGATTCTAAGAAACTGTCACAGCTCAGAGGAGTCTACGGGGCATGACGACTAAATGTCATTTGGGGCCCTCCATGGAGTCCCAGAATCGAAGAGGGACATGAAGGCAAAACTGAGGAAATCTGAATAAAGCATGGTGTTTAATTTTTTTTTTTTTTTTAATACAAAGGCAGGGTTTACTTGCACACTTACAGTGGGTGGGGTGCTTGTAATCTGTGTGGCCCCTTGGTGTTCCCTCATCATTCCAGGGACAGCAGCAAATGCCATTATTTGCCCTGTATGACACAAGGAAACTGAGGCTTAGCTAGGTCCACTAAGTGGCCACAGGGGCCACAGGTAGGAATAAGAATAACATCTTTTTGCAGATGTTTATTGAACACTTTCTTGGAGTCAAGAGTGTGACGCTCTTTGAGTGTATTGTGTCATTAACCCTCGTGCCCTTCCCATGACATCTGTGCACAGGAGGAATCTGGGACCCAGAAAGGCAGGACAGGAAAGGCAGGGTCTGATGAGCAGCTGTGGGTGCTCCTGGGGGGAGCTAAGGAGCAGACAGCCTGAGGCCAGGGTTCGTAGTCACATGTTGTACTGAGCCAGCCACCACCTTAGACTTTAGAGCGTCCTGGAGCGTGTGAAAACAACTGAAAAAGGGTAACCACAAATCATTTCGCTTGTGATGTAGCTTGCCTGTCTCCACATCATGGCCCTGAAGAATACTGTATCACCTACAGCCCCTTCCCCAGTTAGGAGTGGAAGTGCATGATACATGTGCTCCTCTACCCCTTCCATACTCATGGCAGACATCATTAATCAATTACAGCACTCTTCCTGTAGAGCCAGAGATAGCATCAGACTGTTTCCCCTCCTGCTTTCCAGGCCACCACTACCAACTGAATCGTGTTAGTACCATAATGAACACTGTACCATTCTCTACCCTCAGTGATTGCAAACCATGATTGAATTGTTGCTGATTTCTGAGCCCCTCCTAGATTTGGGGTAAATTCATTTCTTGTTTTCAGAACACAGGGGAGAGGGACACCCTGTGCAGTTCTTTCTCCAGGACAAGGAGACTTCCCACTGGGGGATAGGAAGGGGTTTCTGCCTTAATTTGGGTGCTCATAGTTTCAAGGGGGAGATCTTTCTGGCTTTGGCCACCTGGGAGGAAAGGGGCCCTACTCGTTAACTTTAAAATCACTGCGGGTGTAGTGTATGGGGAGGGCCGTGCCATGTTGGAGTTCAGAGCAAAGGTTCTTCAGGTTTTCTTGCAAAGGACTTTAACTTGTCAATGGCAGAGCCATACCCCCAGGACATACTTGGCAGGGGAATGCCTCTTGAGGCACATAAACATTTTTGCATATTCCATGTTAGTCAATAAACCATTTCATAAGGGTTCTTTGGGGACATCTGACTTCAAAGGGAAAAAATTCAGAATTCAGACAGCCTGTCAGGACTTCACCATACAACGCCTCTCTTGTATTTGGTTAGTTTTATGGGCCTGGAGTGTTGACCATGTAATAATTTTCTCTATAAAAATCAGAACAACTCTCGGCAGACCCAGAATTTATAGTATCTGTGGCGGTCTGGCAGAGAGTAGGGACCCTCAGCCATGAGTCCTCGCCTCATTTGTAACGAGTACTCCCTAAGTGATCCCAGGTGTCTGGGGATGCTTTAACGCACCCAGATCCCACCTTGTTCTTGGCGCCTACTAATTACACACCATGAGCGGTGGTGTCAGAGGAGAACTGCAGGGAGGACCGAGGAGGATCCGCCCCTCGTGTAGAAGAACAGACTGTATTAAACAGTGATTATGGCCATGCCAGGCACGGGAAGCCCTGATCTCATGGAATCCTGACAACACAGGCGGTGGGCGAGATAGAGCTTTGACATTCACTCATTGAATGCTCCCTGATGCTTAATGAGTGGCCATGGGTCAGCAGCACCATTCTGGAGCTGGCGCTCTCAGCTGGTGTGGGGGTCAAGTCTCTGGCTAAGGAGCATAAGCCATGAGCCTGTTGGGGTAGCATGAACAGTGACTTCTCTTCACCCCAAATACAGTGTTTTTCCTTAAGGAGGCTCTCAGACATTTAGGAAACGGGGGGAACATAGCCACAGTGCTATTGTGGGATTTGGGGGCTCCCCCATTCCGAGTGTATCTCTTGCAAATATGTTATGTGCCCCATTTCATGGATGAGCAAACTGAAGCTTTGAGAGTCTCAAAGAGCGTTCCTTGCTAGACCGAGATAAAAAGTAGAAACAAAAGGAAGCGGTTCTTTAGTATGTTCCTCTGGAGATTCAATCCAAATAAAGTGCCAGACTGCGTTGTGAAGAATGGCCATGTGTCTCTGTGCCCCCATGCCCCTCGGAGTGTTCCTGTGGCAAAGGAGGCAAGAAGACATGGCTGTGGTCCCCAGTGGACCACCAGGTAATCTGACCTCCAGTTTTCCAAGGGGATTATATTTTTCAGAGGCTGCTGGATCCCTCTGTAAATGTTTATTTCCATGGAAATGACCTTGGTTATTCAAAAATCCAGTAGCTAAGATGACAGTTACCTAAGTCTCTGTTGAAGCAGTTCATAGAATCATAAAACCCTAATGGTGGAAGGGGCTAGAGATCGCTTCTGTGGACCCTCATTCCATAGTGGGGACCGTGAGGCCCAGAGACGGGCGTGGCAGCCCAAAGCCAGATGAAATACTTGTGAGGCAGATGAACTGGCTCCGGGACTCTGCTTCCCTCTTTATGTAGCAGGACAGTCCTAGCAGGCAGGTGAGTGAAAGCTCTCTCTCCACTGTCTCTTAAGGACCCAGTTCAGCCCCTTTGACTGCACGTGAAGAAGCCTCCAGTGGCTCTAGAAACTCTCGTGGGAGCTCGTGGGAGGGCATGGTAGGAACGGGTTCCACTCAGAGCTTTCATGCCAGCTTCGGGGTCAGTTAGACCTGAAGGGGTCTCTACTTCTTTTCTACAGCTTAGAGTCCTGATTCAGGCTGCTGTCTTTAAAAAACAGGTTCCACTGAGATGGGTACAGAGGGACAGGTCTGGAGACTCCAGGCTCCCCTCCGTGTCTTGCTGGTCAGCCACATCACTTTTCTGGAGGGTCTGGGCAGGGCCGTGCCGCTCCTGACTGGCCGGACACAGCCCGAGGGGCTGGCAGTCCCAGCACCTCCCCAGCCCTAGCCACAACTCTGGAAATGAATGTGGCAGCCAGATTCACAGGCCCCTGTCCAGCCCATGCCTCTCTCCTCTGCTCCTGGCAAGCCCCAAGCCCGCCACTGGGCTGGGTGCCGCCTTCCTGCCTCCTGGCAGAGCTCGCTGTGGCGTGGCCCCTGTCTTCCTGACACCTGGAAGAGGCCGAGCACAGCAGCCACCAGTTATGGCCCTCGGCCGGCACGGGCAGGGTCCCTGTGTCCTTGACCTGGCCCCTCGACAGAGCGCCACAGTGGACCCTTTAGTTCCGGGGGGCTGGTGGATGGAGACGCGCAGGCACTGCTTTCCCTAGTGTGGCACAGATGGGGCCTCCCACCAGGGCCGTCCCCCTGTCCCCTCATGATAGTGACACATGCCAGTGCCTCTCCTGCCACTAATGCCTGGTGCATGCACACGCGCCTAGGCTCCTCATTGCACATGCATGCCTCTGTCTACACCAGCCTCTCACAAACACACATCCATTCACACCCACCTCTCTCACTCACTGCCTTCCACACCCACCTCACACTTCCACACCCACCTC